TTTCTGCCAATACTGCCAATCTATCTTTTCTTGCCATCTGGCTTTCGTTCCCAACTGCGCCTTCCAGCTCGGCTAGAATGACCTGCGACAACGAATCCACCTTTTCGTAAGTCGGGATGGTGTCGATATGCAACTCATGCCGGAACGCCGCGATACGAAAGCTGATGTTGGGGTTAGTGGCTAGTACTGGACTGCAAAGTTTATCCAGTGCTACCACTAAGATGGAAGGATTTGGGATTGTAGCCTTTAGCTCTTCAGCCCTTTTCTTAAGCCGACTCCAAATTCTAAGTGCAATCAAGGTATCACTAAAGGCTTTACCTGGTGCAGGGCGAGTTAATGCATCCAGGATTGCAGACTTTTCACTCAACCCTCCAGGTTGGAACGCAATTAGTACTCTGAAATGATCGCGGTTGAATCAAGCTGACGATTGGAAATAAGCTCCATCTGCAGCCACGAAAGCAACGCAAACTAGTGGACGCTTGTTCAACTCGACCATACTTAGTACCATCGTATCGAGATGTTTCTCCTTCTTCGATTGGCTTCATGGTCAATCGCTCTTGGGGGCCGGCAGCTAACCACTTTCTATATAACTCGTGAGCTCTATCCCATACCTGAGTCCATCACATCGCCGCCGTAGCGGATTATGACTTCATGGTATCACTAATCTGGGTCAGCCAATCACCAGCAATACAATGCGCCAAGCCTTTTGAAGGATCTAATACTGGCAACGGAGATGTATGCTTACTAACATCCTCTGGCCTTACACCGTCTGACTCTGAAGCCCCAGACAGGGCCTTGTTAAGCTAGATCAAACCACGTACGTCTTCATCAGAAGACTGGGGAGGGGGTGGAGGCCTTGGGGGTGTAACAGGCTTAGGGGTAACGTTGGAGGTCCCTGAGGAATCCTAGTCCCTAGGGTCTTTGGAGAAACCTGCAAACACTGATTAGTTTGAGTTTGCGAAGGCCTAAATGCGGGTGGAGTTAACTGGGCTTCTTGCACTAGCATGACTCCACTGCCGTTTCGAGCTCTGGCGGGTATAACTGCCCGGTTCAATGTTTGGTTCACCGCTCTGAACTCTTGAACGCAATTGATCACCTCGTTGGTTCTCCGAATACCCGCCAGGTATCCCACCTCTCTGTGTTGATAGCACTCTAATGGTGCCCTAATTATCCACTACCGCACTTCTTAACTGGCCATTTACCTCTACAGTGACTGTGGGTTGCACCACCGCCCTTCCTGGACAGATGGGCTGGCAACGGTGGAGGCGGAGGGATATAACCTGCTGAATCCTCAGCAACACTAAGGTTAGCGCCTAAACCATAAGGTCCTAAATTGGGGAAATTCTGGGATTGCATAGATGCACCAGCAGTGCCTGCGTACCACTGATTTACACCACTACCGCCACTACAGGGCGAGGGCGCAATCGAATAACCCTTTTTAAATCAACATGATCACTAGCCGGGTTCAGGACTTGTCTTGGGGTACAGGGTTATTACTGGCAGAAGCGGCCGACACACTTCCCGTGTGCCCCACTTGCCATCCCGACGTATTTCCCAACCCACATCAACGGCTGCACTCTCTCTCGTATATCCTCCTGACCTACCCTTGGAACCAAGGAGGACCCGGACAGCGCCGGACCGAGGAGACCATGCTGAACACGACCACTTTTGCGGAACCCACTTGAATTATCCCTAGGGTCTTGGAGGCTTTTAGGGGCAGGTATGGATCCTTTACCGCCAACAGTAGAAGTCCCAAATTGTGGCTTACTGGTCGCAACCAACTGCGAACTGCCACCAAACAAAAAAAACCTGCTGTAGAAGGGACGGTACTGACTGCCCCAATCTCTCCTAAACCCGCAAGCTGACCGCCAGTCAGAACATGAGGTCTTACAACTGACTGTGCAAGTGTTGACCCGCCAGGTCTACTGCTATTTGCAGCAATTCGAGCATCCCCAATTCCCTCGATCGCAGTATGCGCCGAGATCACTGAGCCTGAACGAGACTTTTCTAAATGAACTACACGTTCCTGCAATGCCTCGTGCTGGTCAAGTAGCAACTTAAGCAACGTGCCTGTTTCGGCTGTAATAGGTCCCGACTGAGCAATTTGTTGGGCTAGATCCCTAACGTTCACTTGAGCATGAGGCAAGCCCATGTCCGCCACAGTAGCACGTTCAGGATTTCTGATTGTCTCGGCACCCTTCGGAAAGGCACCGGTCAAGTCTTGTTCTGGTCCTTCAAATAGCTCAACATCGCCAGACGCCAAACGCGCCAAATCCACTGGAACTTGATCCGCACTAACACGCAGGCCATACACCTAGATTTCTGGCTGATCCAACAGTAAGCCTTGAAACTGTTCCGCCATGCGGCTGACCTGATGTAGTCCGGCTGTAGAAATGCTGTCCCGACCCGGGGATTGCCTTAGTACTCCACTGTCGCGTCCAACAGGTCCGCTAGGGCTAATCGCCCGACCTTCACGGGTTGCAGCTCTCGTGGTTCTTCTTAGCATATCGCCTCCAGCGGTATGCCTAGCGGACGGTTCTTCAGGTACCACTTGAGCTTCCTGCTCGTCATCACTGTCGTCCATGATTGGAACCCTCCAGGCCTCCACGTCCTGTGGCCTCATCACTGGCACATTGGCCGTATCGCTTAGTACTTCTCCATCCAAGAAATCAGGCCTGGCATGTTGCAACCTAAACAAACTCCTCTTGTTGTCGTTCTGACCAAAACGGATTTGGTTGCGCACTCAAAGTCCGGGGGTTTTCCGCACTTGCCTGATTCTGCTCTCCAAGCCCAGGCGGAGGTCCAGAAGCGGTGTTCGAAGCCTCGCTTGTCCTCGCATTGTCTGCACCTTCGCTATGTTCCATGGCTTCGATTCGAGAAGCCCAGTCGTAGCGCTTGGGCTCATCACCTGCTGGTGACAAACATGGCAAGGCGTAGGCAGAGGCCCTTTTTGGGCAAAGACACCAAAAGAAGTACGAAGGCATATTACTGTACAGTATGTACTGGTGTAAGTTTCAAAAGTTGAGCTGTGTAGCACGCATGGCTGCGGTGGGTATACAAGTACTTGCAAGCACTGGTTTCAATGCACAAGCAATTACTATTATTCCATTGCGTCACTTGTGTACAGGCTGGTGGCAATGAGTATTCCAGTTGAAGCTCCATTATTTCCGTGCAATGTAGAGACTACTGCTGTCGGTGTAACTTTACAACACTCAGGGGGTGGCGAGCACGGGCACACTGGGTACCAAACTGCAAGGGGGGGTGCGTGCAAGGGTGGCAATTTTTGGTGCGATGCGGAGCCCTTGCTTCCACATCGCTTCTCAGCGAGCCCCTGAAAAGAATCAGGGCATAGCCATCCAAATTCTCTGCGTTGATGGCGGGAACCAGTATGCTGGGGTTGACTTGGACAGGGTGGTGTCTCTGATGATGTTGCTATGATCCCGTGTGAGTCTTGAATTTTTTGAGCATCAACAAAGTGAGGACGTTTTTAAGAATGCGTCTAACCAACTGATCATAGCCCGAATCGCCAACCAGCAGGGTCGGTATGCTGCTCAAGAGTGTTGCGAGGGATATCTATGCCCTTGAAACCTTGGACCTTGGCCTCTCATATACAAAAAATTCCACGACCCAACATTCAAACACTCCCCCTGTGCCATTTTGGCTGGACTCTTGCAGCAAAGCCTGCAGTATGAGTGTGAAAGCGGTGAGTGGCATAAAGGACATCCTTCCAAGCCTGAGGTTTTCACGGGTCCCACGCCCTCATACTTGGAAAGCCATGCGCATACAAACGTATCCGCTTGCTATCCTCGAAGCCAATTTGGCCGCCGGTGACTCTCGCAAGTCGATGGGTTGCGCTCCGGTGAGCTTCAGGGCTGAGGTTCCTGCTAGGCTCTCTAACCCGGTCCACATGTGGCGGCAATCTTTCCGCCAGGTTGGAAACTTCTAGTTGAATCGCTTGCGTGCTCGTGCTGGTGGCTGCGGATGTCGAGGCTCCGCTGACGCGGAGGCTGCACCGTATCAGGCTTCCCAAAAAGCCAAGTGTGGCCTCAATTTTTTTGCTGAGCACCTCAGGCTTGCTGCGACGGGTTGTCCAGCCTTGCGTTTAATGTTATGTTTTGCCTGCTGGTTTGATCACCATCTTGTCCTGCAAATGAGGTAAAGCAGGAAATAATACCCGCAACATTTCCTAGCATGAAGTCAGACAGGTGCAAATTTTATATGATATTAAGAATACCACTAATATGAAAAATGCAAAAACTACAAATACTAATACTACTAACAGTATTAAGAATACAACAACAAGAACACACATAACACTAAAACTGAACAATACTATATTTAATGATGCTAACACTAGCAATACTACCAAGAATGCAAAAACTAGAAATTCCAATACGAACACTGTTTCAAAGTCCATTTTACCACTATGAATACAAATACTAAGACAATACTACCACCCGTAATAATAATCATACCTGAAATGATGCAACTATCTCCCATTTTAGAAGTCTTTTTGCTGAGGGCAGCACCGTCATCAACATTTTGGGGTCCAGGGTATGAGTACTAATAACTTTCACTAAGACTGACGCTAATACTCATGATCTTAATAATAAGACTATAACGAGATAAATGCAAGACACGTAATCTTGCGCACTAAGAATATTAATTGCAATGCCACTTCTAATACTGACACTCATAATACTAATACTAATATGAGTAAACATATCAAGGCTAAGGCAATGCTACTACCTATAAATATTTGAAGCAATGGAACCATCTACGACTTTGGGGTCCATTATTTCTTGGGGCGAAGGGTGGGGGTGCCACCATCACACTTATTTTGGGGTCCAAGTAATGGAACCATTTCAATTTTTGGGCTCCGTTATTTCCTCGGTGCGTCTTGTACCCATCGTCATAATACTGCTCAGTTTGCTAATTCATCTGGTTTGTCATGGCGAAGTATTGAAAATTCATCGCCAAATCTTTTGCAGCTGAGTTACACTGTACTGCGCGCGCCTGAGATGGCACTCTCGCCCACGGCCTCGCCCAAGGCCTGTTGAAATCAAAGGTGTGAATGCGCAACGCCCGTGCTATATCCTAGAAGGCCGACCTAATTCAGAAATGGCGACCCGCAAAGTTGAGCATCGAACATTTGTAGTGGCAATTATTTAGTTGAAGTCTCACTGTGACTTAATTGAGGTCTTCTATAGACTGCGCGCTCAAACACAAGTCTCATGATAGGATCACCTGTCAGTCAATTTCAGCCTTCTGGGAAACACCAAAAAGCCCACATACATCCTATGCCAGCTTTGTAAGTTCATTTTGAATCAGCAAGGCGGGGCCTGGACCATCCATGCATCTGCATTCTTGTCCTGCATGCTTGCAATGTCACTTTGAGACAACGATGTTTGATTACTGTATCATGGATCACCATTCCAATGTAGCTACACTCCAAGGAAGTGGTAGCTTTCTGATAATTCCTTCCTGCACCTTGTTTTGAATGAAATGGTAAGGTTTGAACGCATGGTCGCAAAGCTCATGATTGAATCCTCGATGGGATAAGGTGCATCATAGCCAAGGGCTCCAGCAGGCTTGAAGCCATGCTTCGGATAGTAGCCCGGATGCCTCAGTAGAAATGTGACCAAGATGCTTGGAGAGTTTTTGGACAAGCACACACCTGCTGCGGTGCAAACCTCATGCGGTACTATGGTGACTGACCAGGTGCATTATTTGCATGTAAGCATAGATTCATCCCTTTATCCGGTTCAAACGTTTTGTGGAGCCTGTGAAGTTTTTGACTATTGCTAACCGAGCCAGGACAAGCGTTCAGAATTGTGCAGTTCATTCGTAATAAATCATAGTTGCTGCAACCATTTCAAGCTGGCAATACCCATCTTGGTTCGCAAAACCAAACCTGCACTTTACTTGACACTGCGCGCAGGTGGCCATGTGCAATTTGCAACACCACAACCACACAGGTACCGATCATGCTTCACGTGGGTATATCCAAAAGTCCGACTTAAAATGCCTCAAAATGCTACAACTTACAATACTCCTTGCAGCGACTCCACATAAGCCACGCCTGAGAAACCCATGTGCCTCTTTGAAAATGTGAACTCCTGTTGCCAAAAAACTTCTTCCAAATGCACACCGGAATTCTTCAATCAGGAAGGCTGGCAACGTTGAAACATGGATGCAAAACAATGAGCAAAGCGGTATGCTTTCACTCCCTTTCATAGCCCCAAATTATAGCATCCCTTTTTACATAGAGCCCCCAAAGGTACCAAAAATCTACGAATCCCCGCTTGAAGCCCCAACGTCTCACGGGGCACAAGCCCAGAAACATGTGTTTTTTTTGCAATGAATTTTGTCAGGTGCCTTTCCTTACAGCATGTATGCACTATAGACACCAGAAGGCGGTAAACAAGTTTGTAAAAATCCTACTTCCCAGCGCAGGGTGAATTCCTATATCACATATCCCCAGGCACGTTTTCAAATCCGAGTCACCCGAGGACAAAAGCCAAGCCAGTTCCTTTGGCTTCCACAGTTCTCAGGCCTTCACGAATCAGCTGGCCCCCAATACCTCAAATGCAACATGCTCAGTGGAACTTCTCTTTCAAGAGCTTGCACACTTGAAAGCCAGTGACACATTATTCGATCACATAAATCTTCATTTGTAATTGGTCAGCATGCAGGCCTAAGCGGCCTTTCCAAGCCAAATTCAATTCAAAAACAGGAAATTGTGCCAATTTCAATGACGACACTTGAAGAGCACATGCAAAAACAAGCTTCCAGAAAACAGAGCACCTATACATGTTGAATGAAACTTAGGCCATTGTTGCATTCACTTTATGGTTCAGAACTCTGAGCAATACTGGCATGAAGATTTCCCTTGCTGCAGGCTTTGGAGAAGCTTTGTTATGCAAAATCAGCTGCGGCACCTTTGGATTGAAAGTCCGGGTGAACAGCAAGCGGCGCCAAAATGACAGCTTGCACCTTGGCTTAACAGACTTGGATGCAACTGTTTTGATGAACAACCATGTGCAAAATCATGCTTTGTGAGTGACGTAACGGCAAGACTGTTATTGTTGGGCATTTACATATCTGTCCAAAAGCATTCCCGATGTATGCATTGCCTAGCTATTTCATGGTCCTGGCTTTGTCCGCATATTCCCTGAAAAACCAACCTGTTCCAGCCGGCCTTCATGCGAATCATGAACAGCAAGGAAGCCAAAAATATAATGCTCGCGGAAACGGTGCCTCCCCAGTCATATTATCTTTTTGTTTGTAACTCGTTGAACTTTATTCCTGGCACGCGCAAGATCTAGTTCTCACCCTTTCCAATGATTCTTAGGGTCTGGAGATCTCCTTGGTTTCCTAGATATTCATTAGTTTTTCTGGGTGTGTACAAAGGAGTTTACATGAAATCTGAATGCGATTCTAATGGGCTTCTTCTTGCGATTCTAAATCATATTACAATCGATTCTAATTAGATTTCAAATGGTCTAAATCAGATTCTAACTAGATTTCAAGTGGACTTTGAATCGATTTTAAAAGGGTCGACTATAATTTTAGATGGCTTTATCTAAACTAGATTTCAACCGCTTCTTCATTTGTTTTAGCCGTGATTTTGAATCGATTAGATTTCAGTAGGATCCTCTTATATAACCCCCTCGTGTTCTGGTCGTACATTAAATACGCCCACCCCCCCTTCTAATCTTAAAAGCGGGTCGGAGTATATACATGAGCAGGGGGGATGACGTTTGATACTAGGGGGAAAGGACTAATGGAACTCCATAATGGGATGCATCCTGTGATGAAGGAATGATATTAAAACGCCTTGGCATGAACCGTGATAGTTTCCTAACAAAAACCAGAATGACTTGTCAGTCCTTTCTTGTCCCCCCCCAGCCTTAGGAAGCTGATGGTGGCAGAATATGCAGAAATCACAAAGGCAAAACCAAGAGTAAATATAAGCCATGCTGCCTCCTGGGTTGGCTCCAGCCGAGCATGGCTGAAGAGGATGTGACCCACCACGCGGCCCTCCAAAAAACACTACAAGCATCTCAGCAAAGGGTCCCAAGCGTGTAATTTGAACTGTGCAAAGTGCTCATGGTGAGGGCACCATGAAAAGTTAGGAAGTTTGCATGAACTGCTGGATAATTCAATCAACAACGCATCCAAAAAATGTGAGAAAGCTTTGGCAAACTTGGAGAATCTTGTGCACTACAGCTTCACTCCGAAAGATCACACAGCAAGCAGCTCTCGTATAAGATTTGCCTTAGTACATCTGACAAAATGCATGCTCTGCATTTCGATCTGAACTTCAAATGACTGCAAATGACTGCACCGAAGCATTTTGCGAAACCGACCGTTGTGCGAGCCATGTTTCGTGTGTCGGGCTCACTGCAGCAATCCATGCAGGTATCTGAAACCGTTTGCACAAAGAAAGCATGTCGTGACTAACACAAAGAGTCTTATCAATGTTATGGTTGCTAGTGCTCTTTGCGGCATGTCCACAGGAAGGTATGGAGCTTCATCTTTGCTGACTGTGTGTTGAAGCTGCCCAATCCTTTGGAATTAGCCTCCCTGTTGCCCAATTGCCAATGCAAGAACCTTCCACAGAGCCTCATCAAGAGCATTACAGAATTTGTGGCATTTAGATGTTTTATGAAACTAAACGATCTTCCTGCAGCCCCGAAAATTCACCCTACTGCATCTTCCTTCCCACAACCTGTCAGTTGGCAAGGGAACTCCATCCTCGATCACAGCGACGAGGGATGCGACGGGCTGCGCAGTTGGGTCCTGAGGGCCAGGATTGGCATTGCAAGGCAAGCTTTGGCCTTGCTCTTGAGATGCCATCTTAACAAAACACATCCAAGAGCAACAGCCGCTTTTTGACAGCTTTCCAATTTCGATCCAAATAAGGTCACCGTAGGGAATCCGAGGACCAGCTTATTGTCAAGAGAACCTGCGCTTCTGGCGTGTCTTCGGTGCTCCTGCCTCTGCTGCTATTCCAGGCGTCTCCGTAAGCACAAAAACTAGAACAGGCAGGTTTTTCTTGGGATGTACGGTGTTCCAGTCGAAGCCTGCAGGGGACAATTGCCGTAAGACATCCAGTTTGTCGGCATGTAGAAGTTCGAAGACCAGGTCAACATCATGATCCCACGCTTTCTTTGGGGCCATCTGGCCAGAAAAGCTTTGCAGAGCTATTTCCCTTTAGTCTAGTGAGTGAGCTAGCTGTGTTCAGCCAACATCGAACCCAAAATGCAATTTCTCAAAAGCGCAAGTTGAACATTGTGATCTGCTGAATGCTTTGGAATTATCATCTGGCTGCTATGATTGCCATGCAAAGCCTCATTTCTTGTGTGCAGGCAAACTTTTAACTGCAATTTTTTGATGAAATGCTCTGACGAGGCATGTTCCACTCTGGAGCTGAAACAGGCAAGCCAAGAATCCATGTTTGGCTAACTCTTGAATGCAAGGCAGGAAATTGGCAAAAGGAACGGCCTTCGGAATGCTGAGCCAGGAACAAGAAGTCTTGTGTCGTACGCAAAACGAAGCTCCACAACTTTCTGCCAAGGATCTTCCAAAAGAGCAGCGACAAGGCCGACGATGACTTCGTTCTCCTTTGTCAAGTACAACTGCAGTGATAGCGGTTTGGCAGCCTAAGGTGTCTCGTATCCGAGGAAGATTCATGTCAGAGCTGCTACATGTGGAGGCAGCGAGAATTGCGATGGGGTCGCGCTTCCAAGCCCCCTTTGCAACCCATAGTTGAACCCTAAACCCTAAACTCAAAAAAGGGATACACTCAAGTGAAGAGCTCAGGAAGAAGATGCTAGGCTTCGGATGGGTTCCTCTTGGCTCGGTAGCATCTCCACGCTTACGCTGCAAAGGGGTAAGTGTGATTTCAGTAAGGCATCAGACTGAATCAAAAGTGAGATTCAGACCTAGCGCGGATTGCTGTAGATCATTTTGCGAAGCCTTCCATGTTTTTCGTGGGCACACCTGCAACGCGCCGCCGATCAACGGCTCATGGATCCCTGAGAATCCAGCCAGAGACCGCCGACCAGCTCTTGCGAATCAGCAGAGGACATCAGTCTTCAGGCAATGCAATGCGCTAAAGCTTCCCTTCCAAAACGTCGAGCAAAACATCTGGAACCCCAGCACACACGTCTATTTGCACTACTCATCGCGCTGGGGGGAGTTGGTTGATCCCTCTAAGCAACAACCTTGACCAAGCACTTGGTACGTCCGGAATGAAACATAAAACTCAAATGGGATAAGCTAGGTGACTGCCCACCTACTACTAGTGACGACATGGGACAATGGTACTCACGCTAGTGCCGCCAGGATCCCTGAATATTTACATGCATTCATTTAATCCTACTCTATCACAATTAAAAGTTGCGGGACCACCTGAAAAGGAAGCCTTTCATGTGAAAACATAACATTTCCTGACCCCAATCTCATCACCAACGCTAATCCTGAACACCTTATTCTTACATCTCTACATGCCCCAAGCCCTGAATTTTAAGCACACAACCCACGCTGACCTTCGCTCCTCAGCACTGAAGGCTGCTCTGTGAACTGCTTGGATGGCCTCTGCACGAGGGTGACCTTCCCCCAAAATCTGTCATAATCTTCCGAGGTCTACGCCCTGAACTTCGAACCCTTCTAACTGGACTAGCTGTTGTCTTCTGACCGTCCAATAGATGGTGACGAGTTTTTAAGTTGAATGCTCATAGGGGCCTACTTTGAAGAATCTACTTGACAGAATCAGATTGTCTTGGGTCCTGGCATGGGAATTCTGAAGCCTGCTTGCGACCGCAAGTTATCACCTTGCGCGTGATTCATTCATCAGTGGCCACGAAAGGCTTTTGTGTATCAACGACCGAACCTTAAGTTCAAGAAAGCAGCCGGTGATCAACTGACTGACCTCCGTTTTAGGAGCATGAGCCCTTTTCAGAAGTGCTTCCCCAAACCGTCCCCAACTCCCGACCTGAATAGATAATTTTTACAAGGCGTCTATCCGCACTGTGCGTTCACTCCCTTCCATCGCCTCCAGTTCGCCTTCGTCAGCAAGGCGCACCTGAGCATGAGGGGACGTTGGGGGCCCCAAAGGTGGTTAAAAAGTTCGAGATCAGAATGGATGAGCTGCAGCAACAGTGTTAGAGCTTATGTCGGATTAAGGTTTGAATGCACGCTTTTCCAGGTGCTTATCGCGGTGTTTTTTTGACTTCACAGCTGCTTTGGGGCCATTAGCACGGCATTTCAAGTTTTCAGGTGCAGAATTCCATCCGTGGGGCCTCCATGACCACCTATATGTACCCTGTACACTTCGAGTCAATAGCCAAAGCTTACAACTTGCACCGAAGCTCGCAACCACCCACGAAGGGATACAGAAACACTAGGCGAAGACTTGGAAAGGATTCCTGTGCTGCTCATGGAATCGGATCTTTGAGGGGCAGGGATATCGCCCAACAAGAAGTTTCCGCTTCTGTGCCATTTCAGTCTCCAACCTAAAGCCCGCAATACTCACCACTAGTTTTGCCTGCAATGCTGGCGCAGCGTCCATTGCTCAGAAGCTCCAAAAGGAAGACCAACGAAGCCGTCAAAAAGTGAGGTATTTTCTGGCAAGTCTGGAACTAGGTTTCTTGTTTTCATGTTCAGTCTCCTTGGAAGTGAAAGCTTGGACTGCTGCATGCTTGTCCCACGGCTTGGAGTTTCATGATGTCGCGGGCTGAGGGGTGAAGGGTGTTCGGACTCAGTCTGCTCGGCAGTTTTTGAGTACATGTGGCCCTTGCGCCAAAAGCAGCTGTGCTTCTGAGCTACTGAGCTTGTACAGATCTGGCTTTTCACAGCACCAGTGACAACCAGAGTCATTGGCAGTCGCAGTCGTGACAAGAAGCGCGCTGATACAACGACAAAGAAGGCGTAGAGTAGGAAAGACTACAAACTTCGCTCCCGCTGCTGCTGCACCTTTGTTAGACGAC